GGCCGAAGTTAGGCGTTTGATGATCCTCTTGAGTGAAGAGCGGGCCGCGGCTGAGGAAGATATCGGTAAGTATGTGAGAGGTGTGCATTGAGTCGACGCATGCGTACCATCTCCTTTCTCCAGGTGGCTTCCAGTGACGGAGAGACGCGATGAGTAGACTCGCCGCACCTCGGATTGGTCAGAACGCACGCATCTTCGGAGTTGTCGTGGTTGACTGTTTCGCTCTGATCCTTTCAGGCCCCCCAGAAGCGACAAGCACTTGGAGTACGTCTCCAGTAAGGCGTCAACTTTGTCACCGAATCCGCCCATTGATCCAGAAAGCAGAGCCTCAATAGAACAAGAATGTGTGGTGAGCGTGCGCATCTCCGACCGTTGGCCTTCCCCATCCCCGGCCTTACATACAAAGCCGGGTCAGCCTAGCTAAGGAGTGAGTTGAGTCAAGTGCAGACATCTATTCTTTCTAGATGATAAGGCAGGCCGGGCCATTTTGCCAGAGATGGACACTGCATTCGTGCTCTGAAGTGTCCGATGCCAGGTCTGTACAGGGATGTTGTTAAAGCAGTCGAATCAGGCCAGGTTGCGATGTCAATTCGCCCGCGACCGCGCCCGCGCCAAGAGTTGAAGCGTCGGGATCGGATGGCGTTCCCGTAGGGGACAGGATCGCAATCTTGGGCACCGGTCCAATGGACCACCATGAAACGCTCACCGAGTGTTGCCTCCTGGCAAGAAGAGAGTTTTGGACAGCAGCGGTATCATTGTATCTGGAGGTGTGTACTCGTGGAGATATCAATGAAAGATGTGACGCAGGGCAACGTCGCAATAGGCGTGTCTGATTGCCCCATCGTCTGCATGGCCCTTTGGTTGGGTTAACGAGCAGTCGGCGGAGGGGGTGTTTCTCCTCTGTGTTTTGCGGCCGGCCGATGGCGTGGGGGTCTATTGCAAGCGGGCAGGCACATGGGAGGCACCTTTCCACGAGGTAACCGGGCACTCTTCCAAGTGAAGGCTCGTCCGAATGAGCGAAGCATTGGCCACTTCCAAGTCGAACCAGACAGTGCTTGGGTGCTTTGTTCAACTGAACCTCTAGCTAAGGTACGGCTAAAGAAGGTGAGCAACCCACGCGGGTTCCTGAGGTACGGTATCCATACCTACGTAAGGTGTCTTATCTGGTTGCCCCCCACACACGCCAGTCACAGGCCCCTCATGAAGCACCTGGCGGGCGCTGGCGCGTCCTGCAGCGGGAAGGCCCTAGCAATGGTTTGTCGAGTTGATTGATAACCGTGATGTAAAACGGTGCGACATGCCAAGCTGCTCACCATCATGATGCACACTGTGTAAGGTACACCAAACTTAGCTACCTTACCTACCTACCTTACATACCTACATTACATTTTAGGTGTGCACACTGCAGGGCACCACTTTGTAGCAGGCGGGGTTTTCCCGGGGGCGGGGCCAGCATTCACTACATTGTACAGTGCGAGCCCCCATGCCTTGCCGAAGGTACCTTACGTACCTAGGCACCTTACCTTAGGTGGGTCACAGGTAAGGTATTCATCGGCGGAGGTATCCGTGAGATCCACTCCGCCATCCCCATCATCCTATCGAACTTGGATGGAATCCCGTCGCCTGAACCCACTTTCCCGCCCCCCGTTTCCCCGTATCATCACCACCACCACCACAACCACAACCACCCGAAAGGCAGTACTCAAGAAATCCAAAATACCCTGCCGGCGCAGATATCTCTCGTTTTTGCCGGCCCTTCATCCTCGGCCTCATTGATCCCACACCACTCGATCCAGCCTTGTCACCCACTCGAACCCTGTCGCTCCCCTATCCCCCGGTTCACGCTGCAAAACCTGACAAGCCAACTCCTGTTGGACGTCTGTCTTCCCCCCCTCCCCTTGCCGCTCAAGGCACACGCCCTTTTTATCTCTATCCAATGCCACTTTGCTTCCACTTGGCCAACATCTTCCGCAATCCGCCTCATCATCAGCCCGAAATCCTCGCCATCGCCCTTGCACCTCTCTCGCTCTCTCTCTCTCTCTCTAGCCAAATCCGCTCTCCGCCCGTGCCATCCATACCTTACCGTAGCGTTCCGTGCCTCACCTCAGATTCCTCACCCAGGAATCCCACGTCTCCAGGTGGGTAGAGATACCACACCACGGGTACTCACTCGGTCAGTTCCCTCATTCAAGTCCAGACTTCCGAACCCACTTCGCCCAGGCCCATGCTTCCCGGTCCCGGCAAACCTCCCGGTCAATTATCTCTCTTGTATCCGTAGTTATCTCAAGAGCCGCCCCCCGCCTACCCCCCCGCCCGCAACAAGGCCTTTCTCTTCGACCAACTACTTACTACTTTGACCTGTGACATCCATCGCGCCCAGACATTTGTCTCCTTCAACGCCGTCATCGCTCTCACTCACCTCATCGCCGGCTGCAGCAATCCCACATCGCTCCTCTCGATCCGTTCCATGGACCGTCCACTCCACAGGATCGCAGTCTGTCATCCAGCTCACGTCCGGACTTCACTCGACCACATTGTTTTCTACCTGCGATAGCATCTTGCCCGGATAGTAGATCTGCCTTCTGGGCTTGCTGTTTTAGCAGCGGTCGATCATCAGCACTGACACTGCCACCCTAACCTCCTCACTACCTTAGCTGCCTCGATGTCGGCCACCACCTCCTCATCACCGTTGCAAGGCCCCAGCGGTAGTGTTGACGGGGCGAACCTTCCCCAGGGTCACTGTCGCTATATCCTTCTGGTCCCGGGCATCAAAGGTCAGCGATGTGCTTGCGCGCACTTTTCTTTGAATCGGTCAACCCCCGGTGCCAGTTGCGACTGCGGACATATGGCCTGCTACCATGTCAAGGCACCAGAGCCATCCTCGGCCAGGCACGAGGTCGCGTTGCTCAGACAGCGTTTACAGGCGCTGGAAGAACATCTTGATCATGAACGACAGGGAGGCCTCGGAAACATTGTTACTAGAGTGAGCGAGCTGGAGGAGTTGGTCGAGAAAAGCCGTGAGGAGATCGGCCAAGAGATCAAGGGATCATACCGAAATATCACTAGAGTCTGGCAGTCAGTCGATCATTTAGAACGGCAAGCTGCTCAAATGCAACAACGCATACATTCCCACACGGAGCGGCTAGGGAATGTAGACTGCGAACTGCGGAACATCAGCAATCGACAAATGGAACTGTTTGACGCCGATGACAGCATGGAAGAAAGATTGGAACAGTTGGAGTCGGACAAGGACTCATTGGCCACACGAGACGCAGGAAAGCTGGAGGTCACGGTTGAGGCAGCGACTTGGCCTAGTGGCGCAGATTCTCGACCCCGACGCCAACCCACGCCGACCCGGACAGCTCACGGAAAGTCTGTCATTGACATGGAACTCTCCCGGTCTGAATTTCGTGCTTCCTCTTCACCTGGCGCGACTGGGTTTGCCGGTAACCCAGGTAACTGCGGCGCATGGACTGTTCACATTTCCCTGCTTCCAACCTTCTCACAGCCGTTTCCCTTTGAAAGGGATACCAATGCCTACAAGCGATGCCTCTCGCGTGGTCTGCATCGCACAGTTGTTGTGGGGGGTCCTGATAGTGACTCCTTCACGAACGCTGTCGCGAGAGCCTTCGAGGGTCTGTTGAAAGGACGGCCATGGATGCCTCTGCAGGCGAAGCTTTGCGATGCAGAACGGCTCCAGGGCCTCCCAATGTTACGACCACTGGACTCCAACCTTGTCGACAGCGAATACAACGTTGACTTTCTGCGGAAGCACTGTGGCGTGTGCGAGCCCAGCGGGAAGATCGAGTCGTTATACATCGCCATGCGCAAAGATAAGCTGTCTTGGCATTTTCTGCGAAACTCGCCGAAATTCATTGACGGCCTCGAGAATTGCTGGGTGTATGACCATTACCTTGATCCCAACGACCCAGTGGAGGACGACAGCATAGACGAACACGATCGCCCGTCAGCCGGTGACATTGTCCCATGCTTGCCTTCTCTCAAAAGAGCTGCCTCTGAAATATCAAAGACCAGCAATTTGGCGGCTGTTCCGCCTGCTGGCGAAAACGATACACCGAGGACTAAAGCACCTCGGACAGCCTGTCTATCCACCTTGGCGGACTCGCATAGACGATTAGAGACGGTGTAATAACAAGTGGCCCACTTACATTGGGGAAGATTTGTTTTCAAGATCATAGACGGAGATTTGGGGATGGGATCGTTTGGCGTTTTTCTATGAGTAGGTGACGGTGCGCAACACAGACATGAAGACAGGGCTGGATGAGTTCATCAGGTACTAGATGACTTGCTGGTTCTGAGAGAAGTCGGAGAATTATACCCTTTTCATTGGTCTGTAGTGAATAAAGTAGATACTTGTCAGGAAATGGAAGTAGATGGAAAATGAAAGACACAAAATCTTGAGGAAAGCTGTAGAAATAGATCGCCGTAGAAGAAAGAAAATGGTAGGACAAATGCCGTGGTAGGTAGTCAGTCTCAGGCACCTTCTTCACCTTGCTGTGCCAGGCTAAGTCACCGGCTTTCGCGGCAATTACGGCGACGTCAAACGCCGGGACCCCGGGCATCCCGTCACCGATTGCGCTTGCATCAAATCGGCAGGCACCGGCCCCACCAGTCAGCCGCACTACCTACGTACGCAGGTAGGTACCTAGGTAGTACGCTGGGGTGTGCTCAATGCTCTGTACTCGGTTCTCCACACAACTAGCTCGTACCGCGGAACTTCCAACATCATTCCCAGACATTGCGCGTTTGCCGTACCCGAGAGGCAGACTTCGATGCTCAATTGCCTTCGGATTCCCTTCGTCTCTCCTCAGATTCCCTGCCGTTTGTTGTGGAAAGAAGACTCCCGCTTGTTCCTGCCTCCCATTCACCGCTCCTGTCTCCACTGTCAAAACAAACACTTGCGCTCGCTTCTCTATACAACTCTCAACCTTACTTTCGCCATCTTCACACCATCTCCCACAACTACTTAACCAGCCATCATGGATTGGGATATCGATATGGACGACGTGGCCGAGGGCTTCGCGCCTCCGACTGCATCAATCGCCGACAACACGGTGGGTGGCCCCAATGCCAGATACCTTTGAGCTGCATTTCGCTGATCAAATTCCGCCGCACAGAATACTGCACCCTCTGCCACCGAACCTGCCCACGCCGTCGGCCTCGATATGGAAAGCGCAACCTTGGTCGGGAACAAGGTCCACGTTCGCGGACTGGATAATCTGACAACGGACAACATCAAGACATACGTCAGCGATCACCATGGCCCTGTTGAAAGGATCGAATGGATCGATGACGACTGCGCAAATCTCATCTTTGGCTCCGACGCCATAGCACAAGAAGCTTTGAAGGCCCTTAGCGCCATGGAAATCGCCGATCCGACTCAGCTTCCATTACTAGAGACGATTCCAGCCAAGAACATAGCATCGCATCCTGAGGCCAATTTACAGATCCGATTCGCAGTACTCTCCGACAAGAAGGCGCCGGGCGCAGCCCAACGCAGTCGTTTTTACCTTTTCCACCCGGAGTTCGACCCTGAGGAACGAAGACGAAGGAGCGATACAAGGAACAGATACCGCGACCGCGAGGGTGATGATCGCCGCCGCGGAGGTCGACGACATCAACGTGATCGAAGTCCAAGCGTTGAGAAATTCGACGCCGCAATGTACGATGACGACGAAGCGACACTGGCCGATCGCGAGTCCAAATCAACGCGCTCCCGGAGAAGATCAAGGGAAGGTCCACGTGTGAGGTCGTACGCGCAACGCAACCAAGAAAAGGAGCTCTTTCCTGGTCGCGGCTCGGTGAGAGGGCAGCGTAATCGCTCGGCATCGCCCATGAGAGACAATGATGGCGATGCCTCAATGGACACTGAAGTCAGTCGTGCGGACACGGTAAGCAACAGAGAAAGAGCGTCTGGCATCCGGGGCAGACTGGCGCAAGACAACCAGTCGAAGGAGCTATTCCCCGCCAAGGGACCTTCAATCGGCAAAACCCACATGGACCGAGTAATGGATGGCGCGGACGAGGCTACGCGGCTCATGCAAAGCAACATGTCTGTCGGCAACGGGAGGCGTGAGAAGGGCGATCTCTTCAATCGACAGCTCGGCTCCGGCACGGGCTTTGCCATCAAAGGCGCGGCCAACTCCAACGTCAAAGAGTTGTTCCCCAGCCGATTCGGCGGAAACACCGGAAAGGAGCTCTTCGCAGATAGACCAGAGGGGCGTGGGAAGAGACGACAGAAGGCCGAGGATTTGTTCTCTTAGTGTACAGACGATTGGATCAACACGGGAGCCACGGTTTGTGCGCAGGAGCCAGAGGTGACCGTAACGCTTTGGATAAGACGGCAAACATGCGCAGGCAACAAATACCATAGGTGCGGTAATTTGAGCAAAGCATGTTTCCCGGTGAACTATTTGGCGGTAACATGATGTGTCCAGGAGAAAACACGTGTTATTAGTACTGGGATCGCATCTCTTCCTAGATGTATATTGTGGCGGAGAGCTCCTCTTCAATCACATAAATGAAGCAGGCTCGGCTTGGCCATCGTGAGATGCCGAGACGAGGTGCAAAATGTAGCGGTAGGCTATGATACTTCTTCTGCACATCTGGACGAGGCGGTCCGGATGTTTAGACGAAAGTGGTCTCGGAAGTCTGGACACTAGCGGTTTCTTCCTGCAGTGAAGTTGAGCAGGCAAAAGGAGGCAGGCACAGCTGGCGACGGTACTCGCTCCTGCCATCGTGCGTCTTGGAATTGAGGATGCCTCTACTCGCTCCACCCGTCGTCGCGCTCGACGTTGAGGGAAGTGAGCCGCCTGCACAAGCATTAAAGCTTGCCTCTCAGGTCTTTATTTCCGAACCCCTTCGCTTTGCAGCGTCCATCGCGCCACGTCCTGCATCATCACCAGTCTGTTGGTTTCATTTCATTACAAAACGAGGCCCTCCGTTGAGATTTGTTCGCGGTAATTAAACCAGCTTTTGTTCGTGGGATATCACATCAAGCCTTTTACTTTCTCGTAACAGCTAAACTGCCAACAGTCAATCACTTCCCAAGTCTTCGCCATTTGCACACCTCTCGGGCTGTTCAGCAAGGACGAGCGCGGGCGACGGTCTTCCTTACAATGGCGGATTCTGAGAGATTGAGCCCTTTCCCTCGTCGCATGAGGTCTGATCTGGGGTTGAAGCGGCCTGCAGACGACGACAAGCAGACACGCCCTCTACCCATCGGCAACAGGCCGCGCCAACGAACATCCATTCCCCGCATCGCCAGTCTTGATGTTATTGTACCTGCGAACCTAGGAGTGAACAAGTGCCCTAGCATCCGGTCGGAACGACGGCCTGCATCCCCTCGTCGACTCTCACTCTCGCTAATCGAACCCGGCGACGGTGTCTTCTTTCAGGAGCGAGATCTCAACACTGGCCATGCAGCGTCTATGGAGCAAATGATCAACACGTTGCACCATGTCATGATGACCAAGCCTGTTCTCGACCCGGTGCCAATTGAGAATAATTCTTGCATTCTGCACTTGCTTGAGGGGTACCGAGAGCTCCAAGAACAGCTGCGTGTGACCGAGAAGGCATTGGCGGAGGAGAAGGAGACCAAGGAGCGTAGCCTCGAAGAGTTTGCCAAGGTGTCATCCGAATGGGAGAAGAAAGAGACTGACTTCCGCGCCGAGATCAAGCGCATGGAGTTGGTCCTTGCCGACATTGCTCCCGACGGTGTTGGCGCGGTCGCCCTCGCGCGATCCGGCAGTATCGTGGACAGAAGCAGCAGGTCATCCCGGCTCTTCAAAGCCAGGGTAGAGAAGGCCAAGAGTCCTACAAAAGGTGAGGAGAGCTCTATCGCAGTTTGTCCTAGCTGTCTGAACACTGACGGATTCCGATACAAAGCGCGAGATCCTGACGACACCGCCGCTCTGGAGAATACCCTTGATTCCGACGCAACGGGCAGCCCGCGTCGTACGCATACCACATATCGTAAGCTGACCCGAACGTCGCCAAGCATTAGATGCACTTGCTAACGTATGCAGTGTCGATGCGCCCAAACCTGGACAGTAACGCGGATGCCGAGTTGAGCGAAAAGATGAGGAAAGCCCAGTTGAGGCGGTTTTGGGACACCAAGTACGATCCACGAAAGACGCCCGGCAGAGCCGACTTGACATCATGCCACACCTCGAATAAGCCCGTAAATCACCATAATCGATGTCACTCCACTGCCAAGTCGCTTCCCAAAGGAGAAACTACTATGCAAAACAACATCGCGGATGACCCGGATTCAACTAGCGAAGTGACGGTCCTGCATATGAACGAGGATGTGCCGGCCGGTCCCAACGATCGAGCTGTTGACGGGAGACTCGAAACCATACCCACTAAGGCGACAGTGAACGGTCTATTGGGCGAAAACCCGGATGCCTCGACGCAGACTGGCGGTGGCCTGGGATGTAAACGCGAAGTCAGCCGCCACAAGAGAGAATTTTCATTCGATCCAGGAGAGGACGGCATTCTCCTATTGCCCTTGGCAAACCAAAACCCACATGGAACCATGGAACAGTCATAGAACATGCGCAAACGGGAGCGAGGCGGCATATATCGACCGATAGGTGCAAAAGCCAGTCCTTTGAGTTCAAGCGCTGCAGACAGCTGATGGTTAGAGAAATAAGTCACAGCCCAACGTCAGTGCACCTGGTGTCATCTTGTCACATATCGAAGCCTCACCCAATACTGCAGGATTAAGTCCGGACTGCGACCAGGCGGATATCCATGGAAGTCGTCGCAGTTCTCAAGATAGCGGCCCAGTCCGTACGATATCGTTTTACGATACATCCATTCGCCCAGTGCAGACGGAAAAGGGGTAAGAGCAGTGGAGAAAACGAATTGTTAGCGAAGTTCGTTGTATCAAGCACGAGTTGGGCTTTTTTGCTTGCTGCGTTGGGCAAAGGAATGACATGCGTTGCGAAATAACAAGCAGCGCTGAGCCGCCTAGTCGCGTTTTCACTTCCCAAATGTATTACTGCATCTCCCTGCATTGTGTTCACTAACTTGGATCTTATGTGTTGTTGAAGTCTACGTTGCCATAACGTGCTCCATATCCGAGCGAATACATAAGCCCCGAATACTTGAGCCCCATTTGCAAACTCCTTCTCGCCATACGTACCCCGATAGCTCCCGTCCATGACTGTAAACATTGCCACGTGAAGACCCCGTTTAGGTTCACGATTGTCTCCGAGGGTCCTGTCCCCTGCCCGGCGGCTATCATAGTGATGAGCGGGACTTAGGGCGATGCTTTGCACAGGTTGTAGGCTGCATCCCCATAAGACCAAGGTGGTTCAGGGGTAAGGAGATAGCTGCGTCTTGACTGGGTGCATTCCGTCGCCGGTGAATTTCGCGGCAGCGACACATGGTCTGTCGAATTGAAAGCAGTCTCCGAAGCAGGGACGAACAAGGATGTGCCGGTCGGGGAAGCCACAGTGAAAGGCGCGAAACCACGAGCAAATCAAACAGCTACGAATACTTACACCTAGCAGCCGGCGCTTTACTCTGCTCGGTTTGTGTGTTAAACGAATCAAGGTGCATTTTGGTCGGCAGCAACTAGTAAACGCCCCCAGGGACCGAAAAGCCGAAGGGAGACGAGTAGATGAGGTGAGGCGTTTTTCACCCAGATCGCCGGGTAGCAATACTTTTGGAGGAGGAGCGTCAACTACGCCTGCTTATTTTCCCCTTCCCCGTCCATAACTGGAAGTGCTTGAGTATATCGTCACCTGTACGGCGACCGCCTCACTCAGCGTCCGCCGTTGCAACTGGAATTCGGTATGTAACCCGCTCCAACCAGAGTACCACAATGGCGACTCCCACGGACGGTTTCGTAACTCTCTTTGTCTCGTCAGTCGGCAGAACTGTTGGAACTCAGGTTGGCCTGCTAGCCGTCGAAGATATTGCAACCACAGAAACAGTGGAAGGTTTTCCCCACGCCAACCGTTTGACGGAATTAGGTCCAGGTCAGATTAATATTTATTTCGGAAGAACTATTAGCTCAGTATCGCACGACTTCTTGGTCACTCACATACGCCTCACCAGAAAGCCCTCCACTTACTCCTCGATACTCCTACCGTGGGTACGGCAATACCGAGTCTCAGGACGATTAGACTTCAAATCGGCAGTCGGTGGCTGTTTTCCAGTTCCGGTATTGCGCCAAAGATTGACTTGCAGCATCCGCAAACAAGACTTCCCCAACGATGTGAGTGCACCGGCAGTGGGTCTGCGGATGAAGTATAACGGTTCGCCCCAAGACACTAGGTGGCGACAGAGGTTGAAGTCATGCTTTCACCATTTGAGTGACACGCATCCAAGAGCAACACAATCGAAGAATCACGAGGAATATGTATATGAGTAATGAGCCTCGGCCACTGAAGACGAGTTGATTTTGGGCGTCTCTTTACAAGTGTTTGCCGAGCATACAATTGAGATACGAAGAACTCTACAGTTCCGTTTGCGAAAGCCTTCCGCTCTTGCGTGTCGGCTGGTCATTAACATAAGTCTAATTGCATGTGGTTCATCGCACAAAAGCCTCGAGGGATTCTGATAGGGCCACAGGTACCTGTGCCGCGGCGGCGGGCTCGCGCGACCCGCGCCTGTCTCTATGTATGTCTTGCAAAAAGCCTGTGAGGGCAGGTCTGTGGGCAAGAGGGTAAGAGGACAGGGTGCTGAGACGATGGAAAGAAAAGGGGGCAGAAAGATTGAAGGATCAATGACAAATATGAAGGTCGACACCCCAAGACCAACAGCCACCACAGCGTAATATAAACGAAGAAGGATCACACACACCAAGATACATGAGGTAACAAGCGCCCATCACCCTGATCCTTGGGCCGTCAACGATGCAGGCAAGCTTCCTCAGTGCACACGTGCACACAAGTTCGGCGATGACATTACAGACAGGCTGGCTGAGGCGACTGTGGTGTGTAATGTTGTATTCCCAACGGGGGAATATGGTTTCGTCGTCCCGTGTTGGAGGCTTATGTGTGCCCGCGGTGTCCCACTGCAGGCGGGCGTCGTTGATTCCTTGAATCGACTGCATGATTGATACGCACTACCAGCGCACACATTGAACCAATATTTACACATACGGCACGATATGGTGCCATCGTGTTATTTTACGGTGCTTGCGTTGCAGCTTGGTACACCCTCCTTAGCCCCTCCCCCTCTCCGTGAACAACCAGCCCGGGATAGTGGCAGAGACAGAGAGAGAAAGATAGAGCTGTATCCTTGG